GTGTGTGTGTGTGTGTGTGTGTGTGTGTGTGTGTTTGTGCGTGCGTGCGTGCGTGGGTGTGTGTGTGTGTGTGTTTGTATGTAGACCTGTATATTGGAGTACTTAAATGCGTCTAGACAGATGGAATGGCATGGCATGGAACGTCACGGCACGGAATGGACTAGCGTGAACTGACGTAATTATCCAATCACGTGAAACTGAATGGCATGGAGCGAGTGGATCGAATGAAGGAAAGAAGGAATGACTGACTGAATGAACGAATGAATCCACGAAAAGAATGAATGAGTGAACGGATGAATGAGTGGCTGAAAAACGGAATGAAGAATGAAACCCAATGAATAAACAAAACGAACGACTGAAATGAATGAATGCAATAAAGGCAGGAATGAATAGCTCACGGCAACGAAACGCAACTAATGAATGATCCAATCGATGAATGACTCGATGGAATAAACGAACTAATGAATGAATGAACACATGAATGGATGTACGTATGGTTGGAATAAATGAATGAATGAGTGAATAAGTGAGTGAGTGAGTGAGTGAATGGTTGATGAATGAAAGAAAGAATACATGATTGAATGGTTGAACATGCATGAATGAATGGGGCGAGGGCAGCAAACAGTTTCGATGAGATGAGCGGAAAGACTGGTGTGAGTTATGAACGAACTGAAATCAACGCCATGAATGATATGAATGAACGAAGGAAAGAATGGATGAATGAATGGGTTTAGGTATTGAGGCTTTTGAAACATGTATGTGTGTACGTATATTGTGTTTTAAGTATGCAGCAAGAGCACGTATGCATGGGCACCCCGCACTTCAAAACTAAAGGGAGAGTTTAACCGACTTGAAGCCGTTCATAGTTGTGAAACTATATTCAGAGGCCTGGCATTTTCAAGCTGTAGGGTATGGGTGTGATTGGGCTTGCACTTAAGGCATGAGCCCCTTCGCACCTCATGATAGATGGGGCTTTTTCGTGTCGTTGTCGTTGGCCTTAACAGTCTAACCTGTTCCGAGGTTTGTTTGGAAGGGCTGCAATCGATGCCGGAGCTCAACGGCAAGAACGGCCCCTTTGCTGAGCTGCTTCCGTGGGTTTGGGCTTGCGTCATTTCATTGTTACCCGAAGCGTTTCCCGTGTTGCAGCAAATTTTGAAGTTAAGGATTTCGCCCTCCTGAAGTGCGTCTGTCTTGTTGTCCAGATAGATGTCTTCCCAAAAGGCAACAATCCGATTGCTTCGCCTGCAAGCTTTCCCGTCGTCGGTTGCTGGCGAACTTCTACATGTAGATTTTCCCTGGCATGTCCGCGAGCGTTGCAGAGCAGTCAGGCTAAAAAGGCTTGACCTACCCATGCATAAAGCAACTCGCATACGTTCACATACATAATATTAGTTACATATATATGTATACATGTAAAACACGTATGGATATTGCTCCCGTTGAATGTACTCTTGTAAAGATATACACGCACACCTGATCTCACCTGCATAGATGCAAATGATGCAGGTGTCGCCTAACACAAGATCTTTTGACACACCAGAGTATGAACCAACGCAGAACTTTGCCGCAGAACTATGAATAGATCGTAGACCTGGGTTGATCCAAGGCAAACTCCTCGACTGGGATGGTCAGGCCATGCGTTGGCGGGTCCTCGTCGAAGACGGCATTGGCATTAAGCCGCCAGCCTGCACAGCTTTCTGAGCAACAGCCAACAACCAGAACGCAGCAATAGCAACAATCACCAAATCAGCAATACTGGCCCTGCAACTGCAAGGGCGATGCTGGTTACGACAATGCCGACGAATGCAACTACTATGATGCCTTGAGTCCTTAGCAAGTACTACATACTGGTATGTACCACTATGTACTACCACTTCTACCGTCTCGACTATTACTACTACTACTACTACTACTACTACTACTACTACTACTACTACTACTACTACTACTACTACTACTACTACCACTACTCCTACTACTACTACGACGACGACTACTACTACCACTTCTACTTCTACTACTACTACTACTACTACTACTACTACTACTACTACTACTACTACTACTACTATTACTACGACTACCACTTCCACTTCCACTTCCACTTCTACTACTACTACTACTACTACTACTACTACTACTACTACTACTACTACTACTACTACTACTACTACTACTACTACTACTACTACTAGTACTACTACGAGTACTACGACCGCTACTGCTACTACTACTACTACTACTGCTGCTGCTGCTACTACTACTGTTACTGCTACTACTACTACTACTACTACTACTACTACTACTACGACTACTACTACTACTACTACTACTACTACTACTACTACTACTACTACTGCTGCTACTGCTACTACTGCTGCTGCTACTACTACTACTACATGGCCCGAAACCCTCGAGCCTGAATCCTGCAATCTCACTCCATCTCCCCCGCGGTTCCACAGGTCGTTCCGCCCTCAAAATCTGATCCCGCAGGCGACTGGCCGCACAGATGAGGGCCATGAGGTGTTGATTCAGATAATCCTACATGCTGGCTGCCTCAACAATACTCCCTATAGGGCAAGAACATACTGCTATTCTTTTTTGGACTGTCTCAGGGTCCCTATCATGGAGGAAGGACCCCAGGCCCTAAACCCTAAACCCGAAATTTGTCCGAGTGTGAGCGCCGAAACCCGAAATTGTTTCTAATTACCAGGCCCTGGGTATTCTAGCTATCGCAAGTCCTTGGGGAGAACAGTAGTGACGGAGTACGAAGAGCTGTTGTTGCGGGTGTCGCGGCCTCTGCGACTGCGAAGGCCAATTACAAGAATGATACTTACATAAGAAGTGAGTTAAAATGAAAATAAAAGCAACAATGACAATCATGATCCTGCTGCTGGTTTTGTTACTGTTGTTGTTGGTGTTGTTGTTGTTGTTGTTGTCGTCGTTGCTGTCGTTGTTGTTGGTGGTGGTGTTGCTGCTGCTGCTGTTGCCCCTTTCATTGGCGTTGTTCTTGTTACTGTTACTCTCATGTTTCTTGTTGTTGGTGCTGCTGCTGTTGTTGCGTGCTGCGATTCCTCCTCCTGTTGCTAGTGTCGTTTGCTGCTGCTTTGATTGTGGTCTGTGAGGCGAGGGTGGGAAAGGGTAGACCCAGATCGCAGCCCAGGCCCCCGGACATGGCGCATCAGCCCGAAAGCCCGGCACCCTTCCGAACCCAGAGCGCCACAAAGAGTATTGATTGGGTCCGGCCCCCCCACTCCGTAATAGTTAATAATATTCATAATATAGATATATTAGGACCTTAATAGTAGCCTTATTATAGACTCTTACTGTATGGGGGCAGTACCTAAAGTATTGACCTCGTGCATTTATAGAGTGCTCGTTGATCACCTCGTGAGGTCGGAGGCCCGAAGAGGAAAGCTGAAAAGAACGGCAGCCCGGTGGAGGAGGAGCCGAGAGAGAAAGGGGTGGTCTTACATTGGTGGACGGACGCACTGGTTTAATCGTAGTCAATGCGTTCGTACTGGCAGCTTTACCAGCACCGGGTCATTGCCATGACTATAGTCATACGCTGGCACAGATTACCAGCACAAAAGCTTGCTAGAAGCCGCTGGAACGAGTGCTCTCAGCGGATCACTGTTCTGGTAGCATTGCTGAAACTCGCACCACTAACCATAAACAAGATATTCACACAATCTCTGCGTGGACGCTCGGGGTAATGCCCATCCTGCAGCCCACTCCGAGAAAACAGGCCCGGTACTTCACGGTCAGAGACATGCTCGTGAATGCCGCATATATCTAGTTACTATAGTTGCTCCGTTGAGTTGAAGGAGTGTTCTTGCTGGTGATATACTTGGCAGGAGCCGGACCAGAAGAAACAGTGCGCCTAGGTGAAGACCTCGTGGAGCTACGAAGGTCAGCTTCTGACGTCGTCGGCCCTAAAATCCCGAACACCGAGAAAACTAAGGCTTGTAGATCTTGTACATAGAAACCTAAAAGTAAGTGTTCACCGACTCCGCACCTAAGAACCTCGCCTGGCTGTGTCCGAGTTGTGAGAGCGTAAAAGTAAGTGTGAAGCCGATTGCCATCGCTCCATGGCGCCACTGAAGTTTTGTGCTTTCGCAGTTCTCACCTTGTACAGCTCGCAGAGACAGGCATCAGCCTCGTGCTCTTGCCTTCCTTGGGGCATAACCTCGTTACCCGGGTTGCTCAACTTTATCTCATTTGGTACCGAAGTGCCTAAGCTTCTATGAAATGTCTCCGCATTTGTTGCGAGAACTTTCCCCAGGACCCCCGCGTCTTTCAGAGACATGAGCCAAAGTCTGCAAAGAGTCCAGCAGAAGGGAAAAGGATGCAGACTGGCAGAGCTTACTCACATTCTATGCTGACGTGGCTCCGCATCGTGCATCTAGCACTCGATCATCTTTCAGCCCCCCCATATGGATAAAACATTTGTTGCTTCTAGAGGTTCTAGATAGATTTAGATGGCCAGTGCTGAATGATTGCAAAGTGTTGTGGTAGCGAGCAGTTCGCATTTCGATCAGTGAAACACTTGCAAAATGTGATTAGTACCCTCTTGTCCTGACTCCCCAAGACACGCCCATGCACCGATACCATGCCTACCACAAGATCCAAGGCCTCCGTTGCACTCCGTTTCGCGGATCCCCCCAGACTCCTCTTCAATCCCAGATCAAGACCAACTCCAACTGAAATCAGGTCTTAAGTTGGGAATAAAGCGTGGTTTTTTCGTGTAGGTGAGAGCACTTGATGTGTGGCTATGATGTTGCCTTACAAGCACGTAGGGATTCACGGCCTTTCCCCTTCAGCGAGTTCGGGTGGGTATTTTCGCCGGTACTGCTCGGGGGTCTCGAGTGGCTCTAGGGTTTCAGCTTGGGTACAGGTGTTTACAAAGCACCGCTCTTGGGGTCACAGCCGTCTATTAAGTAAAGCAAACTATCACTAGAGGCAAATACCGCTTCAGGCTCTATGATCCCTCTGCGCAGGCCTTGATGTTCCGGATGTCACCCATGTCCTCAATTTTTCCCTTGGAATGTCGGCCGAAGCCCTAGCCACTCTCTCGGGGTTGCTTGTCCTTCCACCACTCATTGCGACAGAGAAGATTATTGGAGCATTCGCTGCACATTGCTGGCTGCTAATTGCAAGTCTCATGTTGCCAGGATCGAGTTGTTTGAAGCCGATGTTTCAGCATCTACCACAACATGTTCAGACTGGTTTGGTGTCAGCCATCTTCATGCCGATTCCTCTATGACAAAAATCGTCCCTCTCACACATTCCATTAGACACGATTCAAGATGCTACGCGCTGCTGTCTCTGACAAAGCCTTCACTGCAAATCCACCCCTTGTAACTGCCCCTTTCGGGTCCTCATGATAAGTAAGGACCCTATTGGTTCAAATCGGATTTCACGGGTCCCTGGCTTTCTGAAAATAAGATGTGGTTTGCCAAGGAGCTTGGAGCTCAAGGGCAAGCACGAATCAGCAGAAGCGACCCCTGCCAACGAAGCTCGAACCATCCTCTGCATTTGCCAACCCTAAACCCTAAACCCGTGCGAGTGTGAGCGTCGAAACCCTAACCCTAACGCCCTAAACCCTACGGTGACAGCCACAGTGACCCGGAAGTGAGCCCAGAGGCTCAGACCCAGAACCGAGCCTTGCAGCCCAAGATCGACAGCTACATCCACCGCATCGGCCGATGTGGCCGGGCCGGCCGCGAAGGTACCGCCGTCACATTCGCCGGGAGCCTATGCATGGTGCTTGTAATTTGGTCCCAGCTGCTGGTAGAAAACAGACTAGCTGGCTTGAAGATGCTTTCTGCTTTCGCGTTCGCAGCATCATGCTAAACACAACGGGCAAGCAGAAAATGACGGATTTTGATGGCGCACAACACTCAGATTCGGTTGTGGCGTGTTTGAAATGATGCGGCGCACAGTCAGCCTATGTCAAGCACTGGCAAGGTGTACATGCAATGTCGCATGGGCTCCAGGCGTGTATGTGTGTTTGATTTATGGTAATGTGGTTTGAATGCTACTGCTAGCGGAACAAGTATGCACATTTGGTTTTAACGATTTGGTGCAACTCATGCTGCTACGAGACATGCATCGTATCTCAAGGTGGCATGCCGTGCACAGCAAGGTCAAGCGCGTTTCAATTAAGCAGTGTCGTGCAGGTGCTAATGGTGCACATCGCGCAACTCACACAGCAGAAGTCAAGCCTTGAACAATGCAAATGTGTTGCGTATATGTTGCTCCAGTTTGGACTAGGCAGTTCAAGAGGAATGTGGGATTGTGCACATAGTAAAACCCAGAAACAAGCAGCACAATGAAATGAAATGGGATCCCAAGCTGAGAAACCTCTGGGTCGGTAAACCCTTGGGGGGCGAGCTTTTCTGTCTCTGTCCGGCAACCGCAGGTTACTCAAGGTGCCACAAACGCCTTAAGGCAGAAACACCAGATGGTGAGATCTGAACGAATGTGCCTCCTTCAAGGGGAAGTGGAGTTGTAGCCGAAGTCCTGGCATCGAAAAGGCAGAGATGGGGACGACCAACTTCAGAGATTCCAATGCAACTCGAAATGGATGTGCGGACGTCAAATGTCTCACTGTGATTGACGAGCGGTAACTCCCAGACTACAAAATCCAGAGGTGCAAGGGTGCACTACACCTCCACTTCCTGACGGCCATCGGTGGTGGCGGTGAAAACGTGTGAAAATCCGGTGTTCTGTCACCAGTCCGGGAGGCGAGCCCTGGACCAGCAAGCAATGCAGATATGCTCAGGACCGCAAGAACACCTACATACAAGAGACCTGTTTAGATCAACAGCAGTGGCTAGCACTATATGGAGATGCTCACACTCGGCCTGAATCCCGAACCACTGCACAAGTTCCAGACCTTCATCTTCCTTCGAGGCCCACAAGAAGCCGAAATATATGTAGCCCTGAGGTCACGGATGGTGACGAGCGCTTGGCGGGAGCTTTGCTCAAGCTTCTCCAAGAGGCATTGGTGATAGGAAGCTTAGATGGGAATGGGGGAATGGATTATGGAAAGTATTATTGGGGATTATATAGGGACTACTATGGGGATCCATTCTCCCATTTCCTACTAGGATTTCCTACTAAGCACCAGACAGACGACAGGAAGCTTAGATGTGGGATTCAACTCGGAGGTCCTTGGCTTAAGGGCCTGGTGGTGGGTCCTCTTCCAACGAAACACTGTGCTTTGAGATAGCTTCTTCCATACAGGATAGCTGGCAGTTGTGCCTGGTATAGGCAGTCAGCTACAAAGCAAAAGGTCGCGCCGTAGCGCCATTTAACCATTTTAACCGAGTTGACAGCTGTTGCTTAGCAAGCTGTGTGATGACATGCCTTCAATCAATCATCCAATGTACCACGGCTTCTGCTTTTGGTGCCCCCGGTACTACGACAACTAGTATCGCTGCTACTGCGAAGGCCACGACGACGGCTACTCCTGCTGAAACAGCTACTGCTACTGCTACCACAACGAAAATTATCATGGCGAAGAGCAACTACAATAGTCAGAGTACTGTTGCGGTACCATCGCTGCCGTTGCTGCTGGCACTGCTGCTGCCACTGCTTGATCTGCCTTTCGCATCGCCTCCTCAGCGCATTCCCAAATAGTTCCTGTTCCCCCATACCTCTTTCTGACCTATTCTCCGGTTCGGCCCGATGTGGAGAGGCGCGCCAAAGCATCCCGCCAAGACCTTTGAGTTTCGATTTGGGAGCTGTTAGGCTGCCGAAGCTCTGGATTTCAAATTGCTGTGAGATAGTGCGACAGACATGCTTGCGGGCGACTCGGTGTGCTCGGGGACAGCAGGCCAGGTAGGGTTGCTCGGGTCACCAGTGAAGCGTCTCGTCGAGTGTTTGGGGTCAAGGATGTGGCGCATGTGAAAATTCGAGTGCCATACGTCCCGACCAGGGTCGCGGAAGTCCGCAGATCCCTTTTTCAGCCTGAAACCTGTGAACCAAAATATTGAACTCGACTGGCTGAGGCCAGGCTTGTCAGAGATGGCGAAAGAGTTTGCCAATAGCCGCCGGCTCAGCTAGGAGTTGGTGGTACATGGCCGGGATCCCTTCAAAGAATTTCGATGGCCTGAGATGGTAGAGGGGGGTTCTTCTTCTGACAACTCCCGCAGTCCAACCTGGCAGTCCAAGATTCAACCCGTTGGATTGCAGGGTTTCTTATCGACCGACAAGGCCTCGTTTACAATTCATTTTTAGTGGAGGACGGGATATATTCAGAAAACTGCGCCTGGCCGGTATTCCTGTGCCTGACATCTCATGCCATCGCTGTGGCTGACCATGTAAGTATCACATGAATTTAGCACTGGCTGATCATAAACACAACAGTGACGGCGAGCCACACCAGCCAACCGTGGCATTATCATCAGACGTTTTGAGATTCTGGGTTGGGTCGGTGCTACAGTCTTAGTTTGACATCCGAAACCGACATACCCTGCCATGTCAATAGCAAAGCCTCCGCCTCACATCCGGGAAGCAACGACTCTCGCTGGACTATCATCCTGTTCTTACCCTAAACCCCCCAGCTTTGCTTGAGCTGTGAGTCATCTTCTCCCAGGTAGCTCGAGCAGACTCGCAGTGAAGCACAGCCAGGTAGGGTTCGTGGTTTGTGTTTCTCGGTGTTCTTAGAGGTCTTCGAATTTCAGGATGACAGAGCCGTGCCAGCTAGTCTAGGAAGGAGGAGATCCAGCTTGCAAGGACGCATGTGTTACAAAGCTTGCCGCATCTGGTACACTGTCGGATTCCCGTCGGGTATTTGGTGATGATGTCCCCTTGTGGTCCCTGCTGTGTTTCCCTGTACGAGATTGGATGAATGGTCCCTGCGTATGTTTTCGGATGTAGTAGCCTAAACAATTCGCAATACTATTTTGAGGCCTCCTTATCATAGTTAATTATGGTAAAATATACCTCAAAGCCCTGTTAGAATTTCCCAGGTCCCTATGGGAGCCCCGGTCATCATTATCCGTTGATGCAACTCATTTTGCGTTCACTTTGCTCGCGAAAGGCTTCCGCCCGCATCACCCCAACACCCTATCTATCAATTATTAAGGCCCCTGTATCTCAGATAGCAACCCCGAGTTTTCGTTTGTCTCAGCTGTGCTCCACGACACCCGCAGCATCTCCAGCGGTTTTTGGCATGGGTGAGCCTTTCCGTTGCCTGTGTGAAACCACTGGCCACAGCTTCTGTCTCCTCGGCGTGTTGTCACCAAATCTGTTGCATGGGATGGTTCGAGGGAGAATGTGTTCCTGAACAATACCCCTGGAAGCCCGGGCCCAGGCATCGGCCCCGAACTTCAAGACCCACACACTCAACAGATCCGTGCACTACATCTTGAACAAGCTGTCTGCCGTAGAGTTTACCGTAGAGCTGAGAATCTAATTTGTTCGCAGGGGGATTGGTAGTGTTGCGGACCATCTCAACTCCATAGATCTATGTCTTAACCGTCTTCACCCAATCCGAGGCCAAGAATTACAATTAGTATGTATGTGTGTATATATGTATATACAGAACAATATGTATATATACATACATATATAGATATAGATATAGATATATAGATATGTCTCTCTCGCTCACTCTCTATGAGATGTATATATATATATACATACAGACATACATACATATGTGCATATATGCACACGTATATACATATACATATTTATACATGTGCCGCATCATCTTTCGCGTTGTATCGATGTCCACAGCCCCACGGACGACACTTGCCTGCTTCAGCGAAGCTCATCGTTTGAATCAGGGTGGCTAGTTCATGTCAAGGTGGAGAGCACCTTGGGAGGTGCTTTTCCTGGCGATTCTTCATGCATCGGCATCATACCCGAAATGCTTTTCATGCATCCTGGCACGTGGCACATTTGGACGCGTGCACACCTAGCAAACAAAGGCCACAGCCGTAGACTCCAACTTGCAGATCAAAGCTGTTGATTGCTGGTTTGAAGCCGCGAGGCCGGTGGCGAAGTCAAGCTCGTTCGTGCTGGGAAGGTGCCGCAAGCTCACTCGGGGCTTCACGGGCTTGGATGGTTTGCTGAATATTTTAAGTTGGCGCGGGTGTTGCCGATAAAGGAGTTTGTGTCATGCAGAGGCCGTCGAGGAATGCTTCAGTTCTGCTCGCGGCTGAAGTGTTCTGTGGTATCATCAAGGACACTGGAATGACACGCTTGCCAAGCTGGTTATCAGTTGCTTGTGTGCCAAAATGTCGGCGCCTGCCTGCCCGTTTGAATGCCTGCCTGGCTGTCCGTCTGTGTGTAAGTAAGTGAGTGAGTGAGTGAGTGTGTGTGTGTGTGTGTGTGTGTCTGTGTGTGTCTGTGTGTGTCTGTGTGTGTGTGTGTGTCTGTGTGTGTGTCTGTGTGTGTGTGTGTGTGTCTGTGTGTGTGTTTGTGCGTGTCTGTGTGTGTCTGTGTGTGTGTGTGTCTGTGTGTGTCTGTGTGTGTCTGTGTGTGTGTGTGCCGTGTGTGTGTGTGTGTGTGTGTGTGTGTGTGTGTCTTTGAACTACTGTAATACATTGCAATAACGGCAATGTAATGCAGCGTAAATGCACGGAATGCCAGGTAATGCTCGGATTTTTCATGCAAAGCAATGTAATCTAGTATCATGGAACGTACAGATGGTGTAGTGCATGCACTTTTCTACGTATGTCAATATATGCTTGTGCGTATGCAGGTGCGTGGGTTGGTAGGTTGGCACCCTAAACCTGAAACCGTTGCGCTCTAGCTCCGATACATGGACACACGCACTTTAGCGTGTGCCATTTGGGGTTCACATAGCGTGCACCGTGCATGTTGGATTACATGTGCAGGCCCACAAGCATGCTGTCGCACATTGCACTTTCACTTGACAACCTGCTTACAATACGCACCAAGACAACGAAACGGGTCACGAAAGCAGGATATGCTCAAGCAGGCAACTAGAGATGCTCATTTCAGCACATTGCTTACATATAATAAACAAACATGTATATGTAGATATATGTATATGTACATACATACCTACGTACATACATACACATCACACATGTACACACACACACACGTGGATGTCAGCTATGCGTTAACCCATGTCTGCCTTGAAGAGATGACCAGCAAGGCATCTCAACAGCTTGCTTGGAGCTGCCTCGCCGGTAGAGACAGAGATGATGTGCCCTTACATGTAACTGTGTAACCCGACGCGGATGTAGACACATATCCCCAGACCTCTATGTACACATGTACGCAGATCTCAAACAGTTGCAGGCCTTCGACAAGACAGCCGTGAAGCCCCGGCAGCGTCGCTGATTGGCCAGCCTCATATGGAAGCCTCATTTTCATGTCTCTGTGGAAGCAATGGCAAAACACACCACAAGAAAGCCGTTCAAACGACACAAAACAACCAACAAGTCGGAGCCAGAAAGGATTGGGGCGGAGCGCAGCGAAAAGAAGCGCACCAGGACATCGAGAGATCGTAGCTGTTGCAAGCTGTATGATTAAACTGAACCTCTAAGTCCAAGCCTTTCGGGGTTGGGATTTGTGCAGTTTCGCCTCTTCAGCCGTCCAGAGATTTGGATAAAGCCGTGTGTCTGCAGCTTCTGGGACAGGTTTCACAGGCTTCAAGTCCTGGAACGCATCGCCTGCATTTAAGAGCTGGACGCCTCCGTGCAATCTTCACCTTACCAGACTTCGAGCACGGCTTACAACAGCACAGTGTTTCGTGTTCATCGTTAAGGGAAGTGTCAACTGCGGCTTCGCAAAAGCATCTGCCTGCTGCCGTCTGCAGTCCCAGGACAAAGTGCCAAGGCATAGGAATCGAAGCGATTAGTAGTACTATCCCCTTTTAGCCCTGAATGTGATTAGGCATCCCAATCATTAGGGCCCCCATGTCAGGCAACCACACTACCCCTGGCCTCTGCCAACTTAGCATGATTATCGTAGCTTTATTCTCCATTGGCAAATCCCATCTGTAAGATATCTTCAAGCGACAGTAGTCTCCATGACTAAGAAGGGCACAGTGATGTGCGCCGATCAAGACTGTGGCATCAGCCAACTGCGTATCACGGCTTTTGGGTTTGGTTTGCGCCTGTATAACCAACCCGAAACCTGCAGAACTGAATCTGTGCTCACTCATACCTGAAATTCCAAAAGTATACCGCATGCCTTTGTTTCAGAACTGGTTGCGTTGCCGGCACAAAATGTTACTGTTTTAGGACAGCCGGACCCTTCATCTCGTCAACTCTTTAGTCGGCCTGCACGACGGTGTACAGAGTCTGTGTTTGGGCCATGGCATGCAAAGAGCTGACAGAAGAAGGCGGGCGCGAAGGACCAAAGACCCGCCAGCGTTTTAGACCCCCAAACCCTTCGGGAGGACTCTTCTGAGATTACGACCACGTTGGGGGCTGGATGGCTACAGCAAAACCCCACATCAACAATATAATAAGAAGCTGCTCCCTACACGGCGCTTAGAAAACCATCGGGAAGCTATCTCATGACTAACGCGTAGCAACGGCAGAAGAGATGCGGCAACAGTCGCTGCAGCAGCAACAACAACAACAGCCTCCACCACAACCGCAACCGCTACCACAACAACGACGACGACGACGAAAAGAAGAAGAACACCCAGACAAGTGATCAGCAGCAGCGAGCCAATAAACGGACAGATACAGGATGATACAAGTGAACAGCGACGAGTATAGAAAAGGCGAGAACCAGAGTTGCCGTCTGCAGCACAACCAACAACGTTTTGCTCGAAATGTGAACGGTTTAGTGCAACAGCAACAACCCTTTTCTGCGGCAGTGGTTGATGTCCTCTTTGAAACTTCTTGCAAGTCGTCCCAGCTACACTTTGTATCACGACTGCTCGGTGCCCGGCTTCCGGGAACTTAGCGCGCTTCGTGCGTGCGAGGTGCAGACAACCCGGGAATGCAGAAACCAGTTGTGCGACCCTGCAAAGCTTGCGAGGTGCAGACAACCTCCTAGAGCAGCTCGACACCGCGTACAGGTGCGGTCCGAATCTTGGGACAAGGGCGATCGCGGTCTGGGCGGTGCCGCAATGCTTTCAAGATTCTAGTGACCCGGTGTTTTTCAGTTGTGATTTTCGCCAAATGTGATTCCTTGAATCCCTAGACCCGTGAAGCCCATCCTGCCGCAGGCGTGTGGAGGAGTCGCAGGGCAGCAGAGTAAAGCTGGAGCCGGGACCTTGGTTGTTCAGGCTTCAGCACATGCCTGGCTCATGTTTCTTGCTGGACGGTGTGCGATTCCACGGTTCCCCAGTTGATGATGTCGAGGGAATGTTGACCAGAAGAACCCACATAAACCCGAAGCAACGTGCTGTGCCTCGCGGAGGCCAGGATTCACTTCCGCTCCTGAAGCCAACACCCCCTCACAGAGCAAGGGTTTCGAACCTCGAGAAATGGGGCCAAAGACGAACCAAGCGATTCTTATTTCAGAAAACAAGGAACCGAATCTAGACCCCGAGATGCAAGATGCTTTCCAAGAATTGATGCTTACAATCTTATCAAGAAGGGACCCCCCTCAGATTTTTTGGGCTCGCGCTCTCACTCCGATTGCATGGAAGCCTTGCAGGTCAGCAGAGATCAACCTCTTGAAAGTGCTGGAGCAGGCTCAGTTGAGGGTCAGGAACATTAGCTTCTTTGGGCTTAGGGTTCAGGGTTTCGGGCGGCTCTCGGCGCAAGCCCTGTGAGTCTAGAGTGCAAGGGAATAATGTGCATAGTTGGCATAGTTCTTATGGCTATGTTATGAAGAGCTGTCAATCATGTGTTTCCATCACCCCCTGGCAATGCGCAGGCCCAGACCGACAGCAATGTTCACAGACTCACAGAACTAAGAACAAGCCCAAGACATCCATGGACCTGCCTGTTGAATCTGAGCCCTCGGTCAGCCAAAATCGCTGAGCGTTTTCACGCACCGACAAGCGACATGTTCTAGTCCTTTCGAAGGCACGCGACATGCTCACCGCTGCGCTTATGGCTTCTGCAGATCGGGCGGCATTGAAGGAAATCTTCGGTGGCTTGTCGTTATAAGTGCTTCCATAGTTGCTATATTGGCTGCTGGGGTTAGTAGTAGCAATCTTCTCACAGTTGCCATTTACCATTATACTGTTTGCTGCTACCCGTCTTGTCATGTACTATCTGCAACTCCATTGTACTGTAATTCCATTTTGAGGTTACCTTTTAGGATCCTTAGTTTATGATTGGTTAAACGAAAAAAGGAACTACAATGCACTTCCAGGTACTGCCTTGGTCCCAGCTGCAACATATTCCGCTTCGGTCGCCTCGCCTAGGCTTTCTTGGGATCCTGAGTTGGGCGCCTTGCAGACCTCTGCGGTGAATTGAGGTTCCAGGGGGGGGGTCCGAGAAGCCTTCCAAATACCCTTGGAAAAGGAAACAAAACAAGTACAACTACAGCTCAGGACCCGACTGGGTCTGTCAGAAATGCTTTGCACCGCTTCCAGGTGGTTCTTGCCGCAGAACTGGCAGAATTCGAGCCGTTCTTGACGCCGCACAGCCAAGCTTGCATGGTTACAGAGCCGGTATTTCAGATGCTACTGCACTGAACACCTAGAAAGAGGACCGTAAGCCTAAGCCTTGCAATTTACAAGTGCAAGAGCCCACTGTTGACGATTTTGAGGTTTGCGATCCCGGGCTATGCGAGATCAGTGAAGATTGTCTAGATGAGATCTTGTCAGATAGTGTGCTGCCAATGTCATTTTGCACGATGGCGCAAACGGCCACCAAACGACAATCCAGCGATGGGGCCCGGGGGATGCCAAGGGTCGAAGGCATTCTGATGGCCCGCTCCTTTTTGTAAGTCTGTACTGAATAAAGGATTGGTTGTCTATGAATCTGGAGAGCTTTTCGTCATGTGCTGCAACCAGCTCCTTGCACCTAGCTGTAACTTCCCTCCACGAAAAGAAGCCCGGATGCCCAAACTTTCTGGGTTCCCTCGTTAGCTAGAGGTGTCCTTAGCGTTTGCGGGTAGGCCACACGGCCCGGGTCCAGGTCGGAATGCAAATGATGGAGAGCGAAAGGACCTTCAATTTACGGCACAGACAAGCCCAAACAAGAAACTTGCACTTGACATCTCTCATGCCTGCTAGATTCACCTCCGAGCGAGTCGTTGACCCACGGCTCATGGGTTGCTAGAGCCCCAGGATGTTCAAAAAGCACCCTTTTGCTGGAGTCTGTTGGGATACCCTACAGCACAGATGTTGTTCGATGGTATCCTTAAGTTTACAGTAATGGGTGGTCAAATTGACTCTCTGCGGGCATGTTCAAGGAACGACCAACGCACCGTCTGTCGATTGTTACTACCTGCCGCTCGCAGCTAGCACTTTCACTACACCAACACTACTAAACTACTACTCCTGCGCCTGCCGCTGCTGCCGCTGCTGCCGCTGCTGCCGCTGCTGCTGCTGCTGCTGCTCCTGCTCCTGCTCCTGCTCCTGCTCCTGCTCCTGCTCCTGCTGCTGCTCCTGCTGCTGCTCCTGCTGCTGCTCCTGCTGCTGCTCCTCCTGCTGCTGCTCCTGCTGCTGCTGCTCCTGCTGCTGCTGCTCCTGCTGCTGCTGCTGCTGCTGCTGCTCTGCTGCTACTACTACTACTACTACCACTACCACTACCACTACCACTACCATGGGAGCCAAAAACTACCACTACCACTACCACTACGACGACTACTACTACATCTACATCTACATCTACATCTACTTCTACTTCTACTACTTCTACCACTACTACTACTACTACTACTACTACTACTACTACTACTACTACTACTACTACTACTACTACTACTACTACTACTACTACTACTACTACTACTACTACTACTACTACTACTACTACTACTACTACTACTACTACTACTACTACTACTACTACTACTACTACTACTACTACTACTACTACTACTACTACTACTACTACTACTACTACTACTACTACTACTACTACTACTACTACTACTACTACTACTACTACTACTACTACTACTACTACTACTACTACTACTACTACTACTACTACTACTACTACTACTACTACTACTACTACTACTACTACTACTACTACTACTACTACTAATACTAATACTGCTACTACTACTACTACTACTACTACTACTACTACTACTACTACTACTACTACTACTACTACTACTACTACTACTACTACTACTACTACTTACCACCACCACCTCCCTTCTACAAGTGTACCGCGCGGCCCGTTGTATTCCCGATCCTTCCCAGATCAGCTGCCGAGGCCGAAACGCCTGCGAGTCAGTGGAGCAAGTTCTGCGAGACCTCGGGCTAGGCCCCGTCCCAGAGTCAGAGTCTTCAAACAATGGATCCCTCAATGTGGGTTGTTGGTGTGCTCCGCGATCCCGAGTCCCTTCAGACGAGCATGTCATAAGTTCGTGTTGAGGATCCCGTTTTCCAGAGCCGTCCTGGCTTCGAGGTTAAGACGTTAGGTTAAAAGATTTCTTCAGGGTCAGGGCCCTCCCGATGTGATTTTCGTTTTTCCTCTTACTGGGCCACCCTAGCACAAACCACACACGCCCCTTCACGAGCACCGAAGCAGTGACTGAGACAGATGCCAGCAACCGGCGGCACATATTTCTGGGCTCGGGTTCTGTAGCTGTGCAGGGTTCGAAGTTTGTGGCACTGAGAATCAAACCAATACTCAGGGGCGTAAGACCTCAACCTTTTGAAGCCTTGATTATTCGATTTAGATTCTAGACCCCAAAAATCTGATGCCCACAAACCCACTCCCGAAACGAACATCCTCTAGAATCCTGGATCCCTGAACACACAGGTCACCAAAGCACTTCTCAACATCCCTGCTTGGGGTTGAGCGTTTTGGGGCTTGCTTTTTCATCGCCAAAATCGAGATGCTGTGCATGCCTACAGCCCTTCGTGGCTTCGGAGAGGCAGAAGGGCGAGATGATACAGGCTGCAAGCCTCTCGAGCTTGAAAGCTATATCAGTAATTAAATGGTGCTGTGGGGTAGTTTCTATTACCTTACCACAAGTTACATGGGGACTGTGAGGGGATATGATACGATTACTTGTCAGTCCGACCCCTATATTGATATTAGGATAGGGCACCAACCTTTTAAGCTCTTTGGGTCCTTTGACCTTCGCAACGAAGCTTGGAAGTCGACTTCGAAGGTGCAGCTCTGCGGGCTGCGCAGGTGGCCGAGCGAGAGGTTCGTTGGGAGGGTTTGGGGTTTCGGTATTAGGGTTCAGGGTATGAGGGCTTAGGGTTTGGCTTCTTCGTTTGACTATCACCGCGGCTGTGATTCGAAATGAAATTTGGTGAAATGCGCTCAGGCCTGCTTGATTTTGCTTGTGGACTGTTTCCAGCTCAAACACTAGCAAGTCGCTTCATCTTACCGGGGAGCACCAGTACCAGGATCATGGCTCTCAACACAGTGTGAGCGGTGATGACGACTACGACATTGACTGCTAAACATCTGTTCTCCTTCTGCTGCTCCCACTCCTACAACCAGTGTTGCTGCAACGGCGACGGCGACGACCAGGATGATGGCGACAACGATGACGACCACGGGCACCACCGCCACAACAACAGCAGCAACAACGGCCAACATCCACAGCAGACAGACACATCAGCAGCAACAGCCACAACAACGAAAGCTGCAAGGCCAAAGGAAGCAGCACTTATCCTGTTGCGACGGGCACAACTACACCCACCAGAGCCAAATTGCTGCAACTGAAGCCACCTTCGCTACACGATGCGTCAGCTGAAAAGCCATGTGATAGCAAATAAGGGGTCGTTTAGGCAAACGAGTCCTATCGCCGCGGGGCCTCACCACTTGCAAATTCCTTGCCCGGGAACTCAACGATAACGGTAGCAGTGAGGTCGCAATATTCTGAATAACAAATAACAACAATACTATACTATACTTCGAGTACCAATACGAACAACAACAATAAGACGAACAAGCATCAAGCATCATGAGTCTCAAGAGGACTTTGACCTGCGGGTCCGGTCCGAGTTTAGGGGTTGCATTTACTATTTCCGCAAGCTCCGAGACGATTTGTATTTCAGTCGCTTGGGATCATGCTTCGGAGCGGATGATGTTTCCCCGGATGGGGGGGGGCTCTACTTTTCGCATGTTCTGCGCTCTCAGCTTCTAGTTGCCCTGCAGTTGGGCTTTGGACAGCAGGGGCTGAGCCGGGACTATTCAAATGTTGGCTTCCTAGAAGGACAGCCGCGAACTCCGAAGCGAATGACAATTGATTGCGCATTGAAGGCACTGGCGAAAGAGAAGGCCATGATTGCTGACACCTGAGCCGCAAAACTTCCAGTCAGTGTGGTCACTGTGTGCCTTTGATCTTGCGTGACGGAAGGTCTCAACAAGCTTGGCAAGTCCTGGAGAGTAATTAGGGAGGATAAAGCGGCTCTGTATGTATGTATCCGAGTTGGTTTTGGAGCCGGTCAGGTTTGCGAGGTGTGGTGCTTAAGAAAGCAAGGACTTGGCTGGCTCAGACAAGCAGAGACGTAGTGAACGCTGCTGCAGTACCAGCGCTGCCTACGCTCGCTGCGTCCTACCGAAAGGGCCGACATCCTTCTATATGCCCGTGGAATCACGTTGACATTAGTTGTCCATCTACTCCGAAAAGTAAAGATCACATACCACCCGCAAGGACAGCAGTCCATGAAGCGGAATGCATCGTCTAAAATGCAGCTCAATGGGTCTTTACATGTCTTTACTTAACTACCCTGAACAAGAAGCAACAATAATGCACCCTGCTCGGCCTGGCGAAACGGAAGCAGACGACCACCAGGCCCACCTGAAACTAGTGATTGCAAGGTACTCGGGACTTAGGCCTTGTTAGTTGCTCATGTCCGATACTAGTGTCTGCTGGGTCTGTTGAGAAAGAAAAGCAGCAATGAGCAGCTTCCAGTCTTTACCTTACGGTGGCTAGACTGGAGAAAGGCACCAGCAACAACCGCCCAACATAACAATGCACAGGCATGGAAGCCCCGAAAGACAAAGGGCAAGCAACGTGGACGACCCGCATTCCCAAGCACACTACTGCTGTTGAGGCATCTACTCGCACGCCACCAAAACCGCCTCCAGGCTCACGTCTCAGAGCCTCCGCCTTTGAATGCTGCCCGGGTGAGGCTTCAGCAGGGCTTCAGGCTGTTGTTTGTTTGGGGGTTTAGGTCCCCGAATTCCGGCCTGCCTTCTCTAAGCAGCGTCGAGGTGCTGATGGGGTCAGCCACAGAGCACAGGACAACATGGGTTGGTTGGAGTCATGGCAGGCTAGAGTCGTGTTGCCACGCGGCCGGCATCAATTTTTTCCAGAATTCATGGTAAGGAGTGCTGCTTGCGACTTCACGGGGTGTAGGGACTTTGGAAACGGCCCCAGGCCCAGGACTCCCCGAAACTCCGAAGCCGAGCCGTTATCTCGAGACCTCTCGGTCTCGGAATGTACCACCCGCTACATGGGAGTCTCCGAATATGAGGGGTACCTTCTTTTGGGGCCTTCATAATAAGTAGAAACTCACACATCAGCCTGCTCATCATCTCTCATGCTTCGGGAAAGACATGTGCACTGGTGCTTTGCAGATGTGTGACGACTCCCCATGTGAGGCATCAAAACGCAGCGCAACATCTCAAACTGGGTTCCTGCAAACCGCCTTAATGCAGTTGAAGCTGCGTAGCATGTGGCTACATCTTACATGACTAGGAGACATGTTGCTGCCCAGAAGCGAGGAAAGCTTGTCCAGGCTTAACATAACCCTGCAGTGCATAACTGTTACAAATTTCTTGGGTAGAACCTTCATCTCGCCGAGGAATTGAATCAGAAGTCCCCTGCACGCCCAAACACGTTCGCTTGTGAGGTGGCGAGGATGCCGCCGCTGCAGCCGCTGCGGCTGCAGCGGCGAAGGTGGCAGAGGAAGCCGACCGCTTGGCCCGCGAAGAAGCGGCGAGGAGACCTGTCAGCAAGACTTCAATTAGGGTTTCAGTATGTTGAATGAACGAACCTTCTCTCGGCAGTCGGGAACCGGAAACCTTCTCGCTTTGATTCCGTGGACTTTGCTTCCTGTGCGACAACGACTGTTGTTTGTCTTTGGCGGCCGCGTGTGGGTCTTCGCAAGGTGCGATGGGTACAAGTAGCTTGGAACCGCCATCTCAAGGAGGTCGTTTGATGTCGTGCCATGAGGGTACCTCCCCTCATTTGTTGTTGGCGTGGCCATTCACAGTAGCAGTAGTGCAGGGTCTTTGAGCCGTTTAAAGAGCGGCGTCCACATTCAGGGATGCCTCTTAGTGTTGCGAAGTGTGTCAATCGTGGGAAACATGAGCCATGACCCTGGCCGTGCTGTCTTCAGCCATGGTTGTGGTTTAGGTGGCTCCGTGTCGTTCCGATATCCAAGGAAAGCTGCAGAAGCAGAAGAAGCTGCTAGAGCAGCTGCTGTTGAAGAAGCGGCGAGAGAGGCGGCCAAGGAAGAGGCCGCCAGAACAGCCGCCGCAGAAGCAGCAAGAAGAGCTGCAGAGGAAGAGGCCAGCCGAAAAGCTGCTGCTGAAGAGGTAGCCGCTGCAGAGGCAGCAAGAGTCGCTGAAGAGGAGGAGGCCGCTCGAAAAGCTGCCGAAGCGGAGGCGGCCAGAAGACTTGCCGAAGAGGCAGCCGCTGCAGAAGCAGCGAGAAGAGGTGAAGAGGAAGAGGCCGCTCGAAGAGCTGCTGCAGCAGACGCGGCGAGAAAAGCTGCTGAAGAGGCAGCCAGAAGAGACGCAGAAGCTCGCGCAGCTGAAATGGCGGCCAGGAAAGCCTCTGAAGAGGAGGCTAGGAAGCGCCGTGAAGAAGAGGTCACACCCGACATGCTTCCTGTACGTTGCTACTTGCACGGTTTCCTCTAACAACGCTCTCGGCGTAGGCCTGACCCTACATAGCCGTGATGTCGACAAATGGGATTCACCCCCCCGATGGTGTAGCGTGCACACGTATTTGTGCAACCTAGGCCGTAGAAGGGGTTGTTGGTGTCGATGGCTCAGGGCGGGGAAGCTAAAACCAGCCGCCCCAGAGATTGAAGCTCAAGGCCATCTACCCCTCAGCCTATGCAGCTCTTCGTTCAGAATCGTCCAACGAAGATGCCGCGATAGATGTCGGCATTTCTTCATTCTCGAGCTCAGCGGGAGCATAGTGCAGTCGGGTAGGCGGTTTCAGGTTCGGAAGTTTAGGGTTTAGGGACGCTTGGGGTAGTTCATGGGAATTTGCCTCAAGTAGCTTTGCTGTATCTGAAGCGAGGAAGTAGAACTGCCGTGACTGCGAGGCTGCAGAGGCACCGAAGGCTGCAGGATCTCCCTTTTTTAGGGTTTAGGTTCTCTTATAACCCCCTTTCTCCCCCAAAACGCACCCTTTTTATTCCTAGGTTACTCTTGGGTCTGGAGAACGACGAAAAACTGCAATGAACAGTCCGAAGCACTAGAACTGGAACAGCGAATGATTTTCAACCGAAGTCGAAACTCATTCTCGGTGCTAAGTACGTCTTCGGTTATTGGGAGGGAATAGCTGTCTACAAACTGACTATTACTATGTTTTGGTGATCTGGTGCCTCGGGCTTCGAGGCGCAAGTCATCTTACATCCTGACCTCAGGCCGTTACTATCCAATACGACCTGTCCATGAAGATGTCGTTATAAGGCCTTCTTAGTGGCTGCGTGGATACACTTTACACTTTTTGGGGTAATATTACGCACTATAAAACTGAAAGTGTGCACTTTTGGAGGCTTATGAACTCAGCAACTAGGCCTTGGGTTGGCCACTGACGATCTAGAAGTTTTGCGACCTACAACATCTGGTACTGTAAGACACGATTACGTGCCATACTGCGAGGTTCAGTCGGAGAAGGATGGGGAGGAGAAGGAGGAAATAGAAACCAGTAGTCTGAATGACCACAGGGGGATTGAAACTGGCGGCAGTACTATCCGCAGTTTCACTGCTGGTGCTTGGAGCAAAACTCACAGCACAGGCAGCGGCACTAGAATTCCAGACTCAGAACGCAGGAGTGCTCCTAATTTTACTCAGCAATAAAATTTGACACATAACCAAAATCTGAGCAGCGGGTTGTTTAGCGCCTTTCGAGCGAGTACTGTGCCGGATTCTCTGGAGAGGTTCCTGTTGACGTGTAGTAAAGTACTTCAGGTCCTAGGAGGCGTATACATGCGGCATCTTGCAGCTATGCGAATTAAGCTATACTTGGTATCTACCAGCTGGGCCTGAACTCCCAGAGGGCAAACGTGCCAGGTGCATCCGAAGGGCAAGGGCGGAAAAGGAAAAGGCAAAGCGAAAGGCAAGCATCCAGGACCAGTCTCTCCCTGTATTCTGCGGGTTCAGTTTTGTTTAAATCAGAGCTTGGGTTGTTTCTGGACGTTGGAACAAGAGGCTGTGGCCTTGTTGGGTTGGCCGCGGATCCTGTGAGTTTAGTTTGCATGTCGATCTTCAAACTGTCGCTGCGGTGAAGTGTATGACAGTAGGCAACGCCCCCAGACCGCTGCAGAACATGTTCCCATGAAACTATGCCGCAGGCGCAGAGGTGTGCACCCCGGCCCGACCGCTGTGTCCGGCGCCCAGGAGCCGAGCCGTCAGGCAGAATCCTAAACAGTTGCCAAGATTTGTCCTTAGGGTTGTTTAGTACATCGGGTGAGAGATATACCATAATATCCCCCCGAACCCTAGGCCCTAGGCCTCAGTGCCATCCATTTTGTTCAGGCCCCTGTATGTTAGTCACGAATGTTGGATCAATTCTACAAGTTATAGGACCCATTGTCGACATATCTTTTGAAGGAGCTAAATTACCCAATATTTTAAATGCTGTGTATATTCCTGCTAAAGATGCTCATAATAATAACCATACTAGAGCGTTAACCAACTGGTTTGAATTTGGTTCCACATTTGTACAAGATCCAAATAGAAATCTCCTAGAGTCTAGACATGTTGGCGGCTCCCCTGTTTTTTTGCAAGCCGGGGTCTGGACAGCCTTGGCCACAAGTATACGAGGCAAGAGACGGACGATCATCCGACCTCGAACTTGTAAATAATGTAGGGCCGTTGAATGCAAAATTAGGGTGTTGGATTTTGCTGCGCTGTAGTCATATCTGGGACTGTGCAGGAGATGCTATTTGTAATTGTCCAACAGCGCGTTTCCAACCAAGTTCAAAGTTCGCAATAGAGGGAATCTCCACTTGGGGGTTCATGGGATTTAGTAAGTACAGTTATAAGTACCCTAACTGGGGTTATATCCAATCATAAGTATAGGTAGCTTATTATAACCGCAGTTACTAAGTCCCATGAACCTTCAAGCAAGGGTTTCAACCCCGACAGACCAGATCCCCCAGGTCACGCAGAGAAAGTCCCGCTGTGTGCCGGCCCTAGAACAGCACGATCAATTTATGTGCATGGGCGGTGCCCGATGTTATCCCACCCCCGTGAAGTATGGAGGCCAGAGAAGGTGACACCCTGGGGAAGATCGGACTGACAGCTTCGGGTTCAGGACGTAGGAACCACTGACTTAGGCGCGTTGTCTCTGGCCTGGGCAGAACTGAGCCCCACTACGGACAAGCATGTCACACACCCAGGTAAGATCGGTTGTGGCCGACAAGTTGCGCTCGACTCCCAGCTGATTCGGCACTGCGTGGTTGTTTAAAGAAGCTCCATAGGGTGCAAGTCTATGACAGAAACCGTGACACATTCTCCAGCTCGTTACCGGTGTTGGGGGTAGGGAAACCGGAAGGAAAGATGCAAGTCAAAGACACATCTTTCCGAATTTAGCAGGTGAGATTAGAGGCCCTAATAAACGGTTGCTACGCTGATTCGGATCGGAGTCCGACCGCGTGAGTCCAAACTTGCATCAATGCTTTGCCCTGCCCTTGGCATGTCAGGAGCGCTAGATTTCCATGAACTTTTCGTCATCCGTTGTCACCGTTGTCATGGTCGGCCGAAGCACGCTGGGACCCTAGTTGCAAAGTTGCCCAGGCCCGGGGTGACCAGACATGGGAAGCCTTTCGACACCTGCTGCCGGGGGTGCGCGCTTGGGCCAGCGACCCAGCTTCAGCTCAATGACCGAAGGAGGCTGTTTACCGGTGGAGTGCTACTTACAGGTTCATGGGACTTAGTAACTATGGTTATAAATAAGGCAGCTATACTTATAAAGTCCCATGAACCCCCAAGTACAACTCAAGTTTGGGGCTCGTGGCTGCGTGTTTCGGGCTTTCTCCGACTTTGGCTTCGGCCTGAGAGCTTCGCTGGCCGAGCTTGGCCATAGATAGGGGATGGCAGTTGGTGGCATTCAGCTGGTGTTCAAGACAGTCTCTTTCGATCATCGAAGCCTGTGACAAGAGTGATTGTACCGCAGAGGCCTCTTTAAGTAATGGTTTCATAATCTGCCTTGATAATGGTGCACCCTTGCTGTGAAAAGCAGCGCCCTCTCTACCTCTCTGTCTCTCAGACGGTTTCTTGTTGTTGCTGCTGTATCACTACTCTCGCCTTGACCGGCAAATGCGACAATTTACTCAAACGACGGCTTTGTACAAGGTGGCTGCACCCAGAAATCGCCCACCCTCGCCTTTCCCTAAACCTTAAACCCTAAACCCTAATTGGCAGAAGTTCGGTTGTCGCTGCACAGGGCGGGTCACGATGATCTTTGCGGAAAGATCAACCCTTCCAAGGTGGCAGAGACCGGCACCCTGTAGGTTAGGGCTTAGGGGTTAGGGTTTAGGGTTTATGGGTTGCAGGGGGCCCTAACTCGCCTAAGACCCTTATCTAGGAAAGCTCCCCACAAAAAAGCGATCTGGTCATGATAGCTGGCACATGGTCCCATGGAATTTCTGGCAAAGCATTGGGTCTTTGGGATCGTTTGGATTTCGCAGTTACGGTTTGATACGTCGGAGCTTACTGTGGGGCGCTTTCAGAAGTGTGTGGACACGTGTGGGCATGGCTTCTTATCGAAGTGTTGTTTCAGGCAGGGCAACTGGTAACTGGATGCTTTTGAGCCCCAGGGCCACCCGATGCAAAACAATCGCAGGATGGTGTAGGGACCCCTTTTTTGGCTCGAACATATTGTATGTTAATCCTTTGTTTAGTTGTTCAGGCCCCTGTGAGACAGCGCGAGCTACATGTGGGCTCTCACATGGGTGGTTGTCAATATGAGGGTCCCTTTCTGTGTCCTTATTACAATACGGCACCTAATATTTAGGGTACCCAAAAAGGGGCCATAATCTTCACAACTACCCACGTAGTGACCCGACTCTGCTTTCTGAAACATCTAAGCATCAGCTGCTGGCTGCGCTTTAAAGCAAGGGCGTTTTGCTTGATGGTGCTAGGAAGGTGAGAGATGCATCGGTTGCTGAGTTCAGGGTTCGGGAACTCTTGCTTCACCGCTCACCGCTCTTTTGGCGATCAGGTGCTTGTGATTTCGGCGTTAAGGGATACATAGAGGTTCATGGTAATGCCATGCCGGCCACAACCCAGCGACCCCGAAAAGAGTCTCAAGCAAAATGCACCAGCTCCGCAACCCAAGACCCCATGTGAATTTCCTTGAGATTCGTTTCTAAAACAACAAGCATGCTCGACAATTCGTCGGTTTTGGTGCGGGGCGGTGGAGGGGGTTCAGAAGGCAAGAAAATTGATCCCCTTGCCCATGTGCTATGTCCTTCTGCCGTGACGGCTCAGACGTTGCGCTTGCACGACCTCCAAAGACGAGCGAGTGTTGCGCGCATATATTCATGAAGCCATGATGTCCTGTAGCTATCCTGACGCTGATGATGTGCGCCCCTGATCCCAGCACCCAGCAGCCTCAAGTCTCTGCGAGTATCTAACCTAACTTTGCCCGACTAACTTACGGCCGACACGACACAGCAAACATCCCAGGAAAGATGTTTCCGGTATCTCTTACGCTTTGCCCAAATCGACAGGTTTGTACCCACGTGCACATCTAGGGTATCCAATCTGCAGGGGAGCGGCCGAAAACTGGCCCCTCAGAGCAACTCCCCGGCTTCAGCGGTTTCTTTGCATGATGTCAGCGGCCTAAACGGTGCCAATGCCCCTGCCCTCGGACGCATTGAGCTTTCTCCTCCCTAGGTTTCTGAGTTCTCGTGGTTGCAGCAAAGGGTTCATCGGTGTCCTAGGATGTCTTCCTGTGACCTGTGATGCTGTACGACCTGCTTTTCCCAGAGCTCTTGAGAAATGACGAACTCGAACGGCACTTGAACTGCCGGCCCCGGGAAAAGGCCTGGACGTGAATCGACCTAGTTTTGGACTACATGGGTTTAAAAGTAGCCATCACATAGTCCTGAAATTTCCTGAATAGAACCGTAGACCATTCCATAAAATACCGCAAAGCCCTATTTTAAATGCTGAAGACCCTTATCTATTGCCGTCAGACTGAGGAGGGTCAATGTCGCCTCCACGGTGGCTACACAGCCAGGGCAAAAAAGTCAACCAGTGTCTCCCAAAGCACGGGCCCCTCGGCATCAAAGTGCATTGGGCCTTGAATCGTGGAGGTCAAGGGTGGCGCCAATTCTACTTCAGTCGGTCCTGCTACAACCTACACCCAAAGCTTTGATTCCAGGGGGCCTTGTTCGAAGCGCTTGGGAGTGCCAACGGTGAGGTGCGCGTGCGATGCTATAGCACTGTTTGCAGTAGTACTGTAGTACTGAGATCAAGCTGTTATGCTTCGGCTACCCTTGCGAGCTGCTATGTTTCTGAAACCTGCTCGACCGGCCTCCGGCACTGGTTTGGAACCGGCAAACGCCCTTGGTAGAGCGGACCCAGCAAATCTCAGACTTCGAATCCGTAATACCTCGAAGCCAATACTTTCGTCTCTTCATGTTGGAGCTCCTCCTTCGTGGTGTCCTTTGGCAATGATCCCGCTATTCCGGGCATACATTGCGACATTGTGGTTTCTTGTTTCTTACGGTACATTCAACCTCGAATTTGGCACCGCGCCCAGGGCGAGTCGCAGCACAACTCGAAGGAGCAACGAGAAGGGCCGCAACTTGCAAGGGGTAGGGATTTTGGATGTAGGGTAGCAACAGGAGCAGGGCCTTCCTTGAGTTATATAACTAGCAACAGGAGCAGGCGACACCGCCGCCGCCGCCACCACTGCCACCACCAGCACCACCACCACCATCAGCGCCACCAGCACCACCCAAACCACAACCACAGCAGCAACACACTATAGCAACAGGAACAGCGACAACACAACCACCGCCTTCAGCCTTGCAAAACCACCACGACTGTGGCTACAGTGACTACTTCTTCACGCGTCACCGTCACCAATGTCAGCGTTGCTAGTCTGACTATGGCCCCACAGTTCCAAGGAAACGCAGTATGACCCAAAGAAATGGCAATAATCAAGATTTACGACTTGCTTCAGGTGCTGCTGCCAAGGGCATACTGCGTCCTCGTGCAGCAATCCTAGCGCAGACCGGAGCCCACAAACCTCCCCAACTTCAAGAATGAGACAGGAGGGCACTGGCACCGAGCTGGGAATCTACTTGGCCTGGGTAAAGCGCGAGCTCGACGAGGAGAGCGCATGTGGTCACCTCAGCTTCGGCTGCAGCTTTGTTTGACACTCACAAGAAGAGAGAGAGAGAGAGAGAGAGAGAGAGAGAGAGAGAGAGAGAGAGAGAGAGAGAGAGAGACACCACTTATACCATAACCCTGGCGAAAGAAAGAGAGACCACCATTCCAAGAGCAGCCTGCTTGCAGCAAGCAGGCTTGAACCAAATCTGACTCGGCGCATTTCCAATCACACAAGTGGAAGCAAAGCTTCTGTGACATAAGCACCACAACGGACACACCATTACAATCGGCTTCATCTGAGGTTTAGAACTACCCTTCACACTGCTGTTGCTGATCTCCTTCTCGGCAGCTTGGTCTGCAGGATCGCTTTCATGAGAATGGAGCGCATGACATGAAGTTCAGATTTTAACATTTTCGGAGCGCTGGGTTCGTGTAGGACAGGCAACGCCTGAAACGAGCAAGAGCGACCAAGCACCTTGAGCATCACTCGCCTCTGTCGCCTCAGATGAGCGTAAGCAAAGAGGACATGTGTCTGTCTGTATGCATAGCGTACAATATGTGTAGAAAACATAGACATACCTAGGTATTGTATTCTTACATATGTACATGTGAGTATACATTACATTACCCCATGAACTCCACATTTGTCCTCCGCGACATATCGACAGATGCGTATATGCAGAGCATTGTGGGGCTGTCATGGCGCGGTATGCTGATAAGACAGTATCAGTTGGGTACTGCCCCCACTCAGTAACAGTTGGATAATCTTTAAAATAAAGAGATATTAGGCTCTTCATAGTAGCCCGATTATAGACTGCTACTGTATAGGGGCAGTACCCAAAGTATCAGTTTAGGCCTGGGCGTTCTCAGGTCTTTGCTCTGCTCCACCTGAAGCAGCACGACACTTTTGCGGTGGAGGGGGCATGGAAGCAGGAGATTCGAAATCGCCAGACTCCCCAGAACTATGGGGAATACCAACTTGAGGTGAGGCTTCAGGACTGGAGGTCAGACACTTGAATATAGGGGTCGAAGTACATCGGATTTATGTCCGTTGATAGTCTAAGTCCTCATCAAAGGACACTACACTGTACCCCCAAGCTCGGATCTGGTTATCAGGGCCCCGATATCACATGTCATGCCAGTCTGTGAGGAGCTGGTTCAGAATGCGAACTTTGCCTGGGCACAGAACTTCGGGCACAAGTCCGTGCCTTTGGCTTCAAGACCATGACCACAGACCCCACATTAATTTGGCTCCACAAAAGTGGGGTTTGCATGGCACCGCATGATTCTGCTGTTATGGAGGCACGTGGAAGTATTGCTTGTGGGTGCAATCGCTCCCGTCATGGATTGGGGAGCCGGCCTGCAGCCCTCAACCTAGCAATCTAAGCTTTCGCTGCCTCCGCCAGAACGAACTAAGACATTCCCGTTCTTTGAGGTCTATGATGTGAACTCCTATGCCGACTTTTGGTCCTGGTTTCGCATTGGCTTTCTACCTTTGGCAGTGCAGCATACGTGGGCCTTCTCGGAGGGGCTCAATGAAACGTACCCAGGCAATTCTGCGTTTCTTGGGGCTTTCGGCAGCTTCCGACTTACATTGTCGGCCGCGGTATGGGTTTAGGGTTGAGGGTTTGTCCCTGACCGCGATATGGTGGCTTCAGAAAACAGGGTACCTCATGTAGGGGGGCCGTAAGTGCATTCTTGTCCGATTTTCTGGAGCTCCCAGATGTTTTAAAATGCCTGACCAAGAAAGACTTGGCTGTTTTCTGGTTGGCTCTGAGGACTTTAACTGTTGAACTAGTAGGAGGGTGTCAGAAGTCAGCCGAGAAAGCAAGGTATGAGCAGCTTCAAGCAGAGAACATGACTGCCTTCAGCGCATCGCAGCTACCAGCGATTCTTGGCAAGAACTCAAAGGGAACCTGTCCAATATAAACGTTCGAAGCAATATTAGATACTATAGTCCTTAGGGCTCCGAACTATTATAAATATGCTACGGCACTAGTCTAATTGTTAAGGCCCCCTATGCAGAGACTCCGGCCGCAATCCTTTTCGGTCTCAACGCAGATCAAGCCTCCAGTAGTAAAAGCTCTTCAATCAAGATTGCTGAGAGGATAATCCACAGTCGCCCAGTGTACATTCCTCCCTG